GTAGCATATTTCCAGTTTGTGGAATAGCTGCATAAAAGGATGATAAAGTGGAAATGGTTACTTATTTATGGTTCAGGAAAGTACAAGCACCCCAAACTGGAAAATAATCCATAGTTCCAAAAATAAGGATTACTAAAAGTTATATTCTAAACTAATTTACAGCAAACTTTAAAGTTTTATACTAAACTTCTAAAGAATTACATTAGTTTAACAAAACTGAGGGGTGTGGCCTGCACATAACATGACAAACAATTGTACAATGAAATGCAGAGAAGCAAAATTTCTGACAGGGCTGGTTGATCCATCGCCATCCACTGACAAACCTTAACGTTGCATTCAGATGATTCTGCTTTAGCTTTATATGTAACTTCTGTAGGTCTAGTGTTACTCTTATGGATATAAAGTCAGAGCAGCAGATTAAAAACTACCTCATCTTTGTAATTCTGTTCCCAGGATGTCCCGGGAGCAGCAGGCAGTGGCTCGTGCCAGGAAAGCTTTTGAAACAGGCAGGTCCAAATCTTTAGAGCACCGGATCCACCAGCTAAAGAACCTCCAGCGGTTATTCACCGAGAGACAGAAAGAGATTTCAGGTGCAATCAAGAAAGATCTTAATAGGGTAAGTGGGGAGTCCAAAGTAATCAATGCATGGTCTGCAGAATAGAACGATAAAGTCCTGGACTTATTTCCTCTGCTGTCCCCGGTGTTGACCCAGTTCTCCAAACTTTATGAAAACAGAGACAGGCACTAAAACTAGTGAGTCATTTGAAAAAACAATTGGTCAAGTCTTTTCAGAAAGACACCCAGAAAAGAAATCCCACAGATTGTGAAGCAAGTTCATGATACAATTATTAATGGAGTAGAAGTTAGATTACAAAACACAGGAAGATCTTCACAAACAAACAGATTAACAGAAACTGGAGTCCAGCCCATTAATTAGCAAAGTGTGCCAAATATATTATTGCATGGTAACAGTTTTAAAACTCTCTGGCTTACAAATGGTCTTATAATAAAAACAGTGAAAAAGACAAAAAATAAGTAAAACAGTCATTGCCTTCATGCCCAGAGTGAGGTGGGGACCCAGCTATATGAGACTCTGGGACTGGAGGGGGAGATCAGCCTCGCCATCAGGAAGCTGAAGGACTGGGCGGCCCCTCGGCCGGTGGAGAAGAACCTGCTGACCCTCTCAGACACAGTCTACATCAAGCCAGAGCCACTGGGTGTGGTGCTGATCATCGGGGCCTGGAACTACCCCTGGGCTGTCACCATCCAGCCGCTCATTGGAGCCATCGCTGCTGGTACTGTAGTGTGGTGTGAAGGATGTAACAAGGAAGTAAAGGCTAAAATAGCCATCTTGTAGTTGTTTTTTTTTGCCGAGATGGCAGAAAAACTACTGTTTATAGTTTCAAAAGTTTTAATACGAGTTTAGTTAGAGCTTGAAGAATCAAGGTATTCTGATTAAGTCTATCAGTTAACAAGCATGCAAAGACCACTGCAGCACAGTGGAGGACAGTTTAGACATTTTTCAATCCTGTTCAGTTTCCTCATCTTGTGATCATAACCACTCCAGTTCTTTTTTTATAATCCCAGCATTGCCCAACCCTCTGGGGTCAGCTTGTGATTATAGTGGGTCAAAGGTTGCTCTGTGCTGCAGTAACGAGAAAGTTGTCATAAGCAATAGAACTAAAGCATGTGTAATTGTCACATGCAGATAATCATGGGTTTTTTTTTTTGTATCCTTTGAGTGTGTGAACATACATCTCAGCTGTGTGCACAGCTCAGACAAGGTTAATCCTAATGCATACATTCAGCTCCAAGCTGTTGACTGAACTCATGAATAATGTTTTTGTCTCAGAGACCCTTAAATGGCTTGTATAAAGGTGCTAAGGCAAGTGTTTTCTCACCTCCAGTCACTCTAGGATGCACACCTCAGTGTGGAGTGTTTGCTTAGCATGACACTGCAGCATTGACAGTTGATTTAGTTTTATCGTTTACTTGTCCTGAGTGATATAAAAATGATATCTGAAAGAGTGAAATGAACTGAGTCCTGTGTGGCTGCAGCCCATGTTGTAAATATTTGCACAGCTTGAACTTTATCATTTGCTCTAGCATTCACATCTGATGATACACAAGTAGGTCACAAGTCAAAGGCAGTTGTCAACACCTTCCCCAGACTGAGTTAGATTCAGCACATGTAAAGGTTTTAAACAGACCAACACAAAAAATTGTGTCATGTGCCACCTGCTGGCAGTTTTAGTTGGGATGATATTTTAGTTTCTCCAATACTGAGATGTGCCTTTTGTTGACATAAGATTGAAAAGAAGCAGAATTTAACTTTTGACAAAGTTGGTCTTAATGTAGATAACTTGTAGCATTTAGTATAAGCAGTGAATTTTAAAGTATTGCCAGCTACAAAGTGTTTCCAGAGCTTTAAAACCAGTCTCACTGTCAAGTGTCCAATCAGAAACTGCAATCTCAGACCAAAGACAAGCAGGCAAGAGTTGAGATAACTAAAAGGACAATGTTAGGTATTTTTTTAGTCAGAAATTGGATAGATACTTTATGTATTAGAAATGTTTAGTGGAGATAGGACGTCTAGTTAGACTGTTAAATGCTTATGAGTTTCTACAGGGTACATCTGGTCAAGGATATTAGAGAGAGAAGAGTTGATGACTGTCAGCAGACAGGGTGTTTAATATTATTATTATGACGTGTATAACTGTAGCCTTAGCCATAATATGTTATGTTTAATATCAACATGAGAATGTTTTTAGCTACACACCATTTAATCAACAGACACACACACACACACATAGATTTGCTTCATGTTTTGACTACTGCTATGGCCAGCTGCAAAGCTGGCACCAGAGACGTCGCGGTTGACGTTGGTGTAGTATGGGGCTAGCCCAACTGAAGAGATATAATGTACAGGCCTGTTGGGTTCGGGGGTCTTTCATCTTTCAGCGTGCAGGTTGCAAGATGCCCGAGCGTGTAATGTTGATTTATTCCATGAACACAGGCAAAAATTAGCACTGTTTTGTAGTTACTTGGACTGTCTCGTCTCAGAGACAGTATGGTAAAAAGTACCGGGTACAACAACAAACAGGTTTTACTGTGTCCAGGCTTAGAAAACCTACGAGGTAGCATCTAGAGGCAGGCAGTGCCAAAACATGAAGAAATTAAAAAGGGAAAAACACTGAACACAAGATACCAAAATAACTCAAATTGCAGAGGGCAACAAACATTCTATATTCCCTTCATTTTGAATCATTTGATATAAAACTTCAAAACATACAATGTTTTGTACCTTGTGCATTATGCATGTGTCATATGTTGCTTGTCATTTACCTGTCCAGGTAATGCAGCAGTGATCAAGCCCTCTGAGGTCTGTGTTCATACTGCGAAGGCCATGGAGGACCTGCTGCCCCTTTACATTGACAAAGTAAGGTTGGATAACAAAATATCAGCATAACATGAATCCAAAAGATTGTTAGGTTTGGGGTTTCTTACCTGGAGGCGAGAAGCAGGCTGGACTCAGGTAGCAGAATCACAGTTCTGGTCAAATGGTGTATTCATTACAAAACACAGGAAACAAGGCCGATTTGACACAGGCTGAAGGCTCTTGAGTCAGGATGAATCACGCCTAGGTAGAAAGTGAAGTGGAGAGAGTCTGGTGGCCATCAGAGCAGGGCTTCTGAGAGACAGGTGTCAGATGTGGAGAGAGTGAAAACAGTTCAAGACTCACTGTGACTTGGAGTTGGGTTAGTGGTTCTGCCAGGGAAGGAGTAATCAATCTGCTGGCTGGCAGCTGGTTTGGCAGGAGACAAACACCAGTTGAAGATGAAGGATCTTCAGAAGCATGTGGGTTATAGTGGTAGACCTCAAAAAGGAGAAAACAGCTGTGGCATTGAGGGCTGTAGAGGCAGGAGCACAACCCAGGCTAGCAGAGAAGCTTGTGCAGCCTAGCTCAGGGGAAGGAGCATGGCAGATTAGCTCAGAGACAGATGAGCTGTAGAGAAGTTGCTCAGAGAAGGTAACCGCAGCAGGAGAAGCATGGAGAAAAAAAACATCTGGGCAGTAAGAGTTAGTTTGAGGAGTATAGCCTAGCTAGCACCAGGAACACAGGTGACAGCACAACATCAGAGAAGAGACACCACAGCAGAGCAATATGACAGAGAATTAGTTCAGTCTTACTTTGAGATAGGAGTTTGTGTTCTGTATCATAGCACAGGAGAAAATAACATCTACTTGCATGGGCAAGGAAAACATGGGGGTAGATCCTCAACAAACTAGCACTGACTGAGCGTTTCTCTGTAGCTTAAGTAGGAGAGTGTATGATTACGTGATGCGCCCCAGCTGTGAGCCACACCCAGGAAGCCAGCACCTGCCGAGAGAGAAAGGGAAAGA